TAACTGATCCTTGGCTGTCCAATTACAAGTGGTGTAAAAGTTGAAACCCTTTCGTAGATTGTCTCAGCTCATTAGCTTATAGATATCAAATGGCCGCAACTTGAGCTGCCACTCGCCGCGCTCTTTCTCGCTCCTTGCATTGACCATTGGCCATCTGATTTAGCCAAGCGAAACAGAGGGGAAGAGTGAGAGAGGGAGAGGGAGGGCATATGTAATGTAATATGAAACAATTTGCAAATAGGCTTTTAGCTTACAGTTATGAGTTTTTCTCTTTTGTTCTTCTTCATCTGCTTGCCCTCTTTCCTTCCTCTTTCTCTGTCTCCAGTTACGCTTGGGGTTACGAGTTTTGCAGTTTTCGGGTGCTTTATAAAAAGCAATAACCATATTCTACGCATTGTTAAATATTTATGCTGGGCAGCCATAAAAAAAGTATTAAAAACAAGTCGAAAACAAAAAACAAAAATAAAAGAAACACGGAAAAAACTGTGAAAAGAAATTCGCTTCATTTGGCAACAAATTGTTGCGACGGCTTCGGTCAATGGGAAAAATTTAATGTTGTTGTTGTTTGCCTTCATTTTTTGACGGTTCAACAACTTTTGACACACACACCCATAGAGAAAGAGGGCGGGAGGGAGGAAGAGAAAGGCGAGAGGAAGCGGAGAAAAACGACACTTAAAAAGCAATTGCCAATTGGCATAGGACAAAAACATTAAAAAAAAAAAAAAAAAAAAAAAAAAAAAACCAACAACAAATACAAAATGCAAATAATAAAAACAAACAAAATATACCAAACAGAAAGCCAAAAACAAAAAAAAAAGACGACAAAAAAAGAAAACTGAAACCAAAACCAATGCAATTAAATTTGTTCAAATCGATTTAAGCTGGCAATAGACAGCAGTAACAGCAGCAACAGACCTATGCAAAGCAACAGTAAAAGTGGCGGTGGTGGTGGTGTAGTGGAGGAAGGGGGTGGGGAGAGGGGTCTACAGAATAGGCGTTTGGGCGTGACACTCTATATAGCAATTACAACCGCAAATGGCAATAAAATGACAGAGTAAAATGTAACAATCGTTACACTGAATTGCTTGAAATGGAGAAACACAGAGACGAAGAAATCAAGTGGGCGAGCTGGGAGCAGGGAGGGGGTGGCTGTCGGGGGCGTGTCGAACCGTGGCACATGGCAAAAGTGTGTGAGAGATTTGGAGAGACTGGTCGCTAGAGGGCGCCACAAACAATACACAAATTGGGACATTAGCAACTGGCAACCCCAAAAATCGTTATCGCAAATTGTCGCCACAATTAGGAGTGGTGGATTTTGGGGTTGGCGTTTTGGTGCGATACGAGTGCAAATACCCAGGTCGAATGGCGATATAAACTGTGCACAGGATAAGACACATATAGAGGGTGTGAGAGAGAGAGAGACAGACAGAGAGAGACAGAGAGAGAAGGACACAGCAAAGCCCCTTTAATGTGTTGCCACTGCTGCCAGACAATTTTTATGCCATTTAATAAACATATTAACCGACAAGAAACACTTGAATTAAGTAAATATTTAAGCAAAGAAAGCGCGAGGGAGAGAGAGAGAGAAAGAGAGAGAGAGGAGGAGAATGTGAAAGGGAAGCGGAAAACTGAGTGCTTTGAGAACGCTTTTCAGAGATATAATTTGGTCGTCGCTTTTGCTATAATGTGGATAGAGTGCAACACGAAAGAAACGTGGGCAATGGGGAAGGGTGCAAGGGCCAAGGGAACTGCAAACAATGCAACACCCATAACCAAATGAAAAAATGCGAAAAGAAAAGAGCGGGGCAACAACAACGACAACAACGACAACAACAAATAAATGTGATGAGAGACGGCAAAAAAAACCATTGAGGAAATATTTAACAAAGCGCAAAATTGCAGCATTTCTCTTTTATTTGCATATTTAATTTGTTTTGAGGTTCTTCCTTTCTCTACTCCAGCTGTCCATCTGTCCATCTGTCGGTTTCGCAGTCCGTAACCGAAAGCAAACAAAAAAAATACCAGCAATAAAACAATGCAAATCGGAAATATTTTCACTGTGAAATTATCCAACTTTATGTTAAAAAAATATATATATTCTCATAAATATGCGGCAGTTTTGTGAAAACCTTAAGATGAACAGAGCTGATCAAAATGTATATATTACTGTAGCAGTAGTACTGGTTTCCAAGTTGTTATCACAATATATACATGTGAATATGCCATATCTGCGAATAATTTATCAAGGAGTATGCATATATGGTAATAATACGCAATATGCAAATGCTTGCGCGTCTGGCATGAATAGAGCTGACCAGTGGAATGCAGATAGAGAGAAGGAGGGAACTGAATGAAAGACAGAGAGAGAGAGAGAGAGAGAGAGAGAGAGAGAGAGAGAGAGAGAGAGAGAGCAAATTGGTTGTGCAAATGGTGGAAAAAAATATTATTAAAATGTTCGCACGCTGCATTTACTGTAGTTGCTATACACTGATATCGAAGCTATTAAGAGTATATCCGTGCTGTCTGTCAAAAAAGGAGGCTAGGAAATCGAACAAATCGATAAATGCAAATTGAGAACGCCACATATCTCCCACAATTTGAAAGCTACATTCATCAAATTTGGCTAGTAGAGTGTTGGTGATGTCCTTCAAAGATCAGCATTGGCATCGCCTACCGGAAATGGCCATATCTTGCGCAGGTTTTGAGTTAGACCACTTAAATATTGATGAATTTAATAGGATTCGATAAATTTGATTGCCATCGCCAAAAGCGAAATTTCCGAAAGTGTAAATCAATAAAAACGCACATTTGCCACAACTTAATGTCGTCCACAATTTGTCAGCTAGAGTCACCCTGTTCTGTTGCAACTGTAATTAGCTTGTATTACTCATTGGTATCAGAGTATTTGGCAGTAGTTTACGCCCGACTGCAACGTTCTCATTTGTTTTCTGTTATTGTTTTTTGCTGGTTGCTGGTTGCTGTTTCCGTTGCGGCTTTTCATGCATTTTCCAACACTTATTTGCAATTTTTCGTGTTTTGCTGCTACTGTAATTTTTTAATTAATTATTCATACATAATTTGCCCAGCTATTTGTGCACTTTAATTTTTAAATACTTTGTTTCTTTTGTCTCATGTCAAAGGGGTGGCACCCATTCTGAAATCTTTGTGGCAACAATAGCAGCGCGTTTAATTAAGGCCAACAAAAAAAAAGAAGAAAAAAGAAGCATATATATATATGTATATATATATATATTTATTTTTTTCTGTAGTGCTCAGTGTTGAGTGTTGAAGTGGGTCGACGGGTCACAGATTGTTTGCTGTCTTGTTTTGTTGTGTGTCTCTTGTCTTGTTCACACTTTAGCGCCAGAGAGAAAAAAGCGTCATAGAACACAAAAGGTGGCCGCCCACTCAATTTGAAGGTTGAAGTACGCCCAGCAGGTGGGCGTGGCCAAGACAGTTAGGCTCCGCAAAGTGTCACATTTTAACGGCATTTTCATTAATCAAGTCGCTAACACGCCCCCTCTCCCTGCCCCACCTGAGCAGAGCTGAACTAACAACTTGAGTTCACAGCCCAAACTGAGCGTAATCCAAACAGAAGCGAACTTTCATCCTTTTGTCTCTCACATTTTGCTATGGGGTCCTGCGGTCCTTTGTTTCATCCTCTTCCTCTTCTTCGTCTTCGTCTTCGTCTTCTTGTTCTTGTTCTTCTTTATCTGGTTGCTTGTAGTTGTCGCTTTGCGGTTTTGCACCATTTGCCTTTGCCTTGAACCGCATGATGTGCGCTGTGTCTGTGGCTCGAATGTTGCCAGATCATTCACTGCTCGGCATGTGACATTAATTGAATAACGTAATGAATAACGTAATGAAGCACGTAAACTGTCTTAATGACAATCGTCACAATTAATCAAGTGAAAAGGTGCCAAGTACTCCACTTGCTTCTCCATTTCCATTTCCATTTCAATTATGTTCGTGTGATGTAATCAAAAATTCACAGCTTAATTAACACACAATGATACGGGAACGCCACTTACAACAAGTGCACTATTTATGCACACTACGTAAGCAATGGCAGAACGCGTTGCGTTACGCAACGTAACATAGAACGTTATGTAAATCACAAACGCAAAAAAAAAACAGCGTTTGCAACTTTAGCACTAACATATCAAATTAGAAACTTTACGAAGAAATACAACTTTCACATACGTATGCAAATTTAGATAGATTAAAGCGATGTTTTGCCAACAGACTTTGTCACTTTAGTCACAAGTTTTTAATCATTCTTTGGCGCTCGCTCTCGTCACTGGAGAGAAATGATTTCAATATGGCTGCCATTTTAATTGCATGCTTTTCACGTTCACTTTTCAGCTACTTAACATGGAACATGCGTATCACTATTAATTAATTGGGTTACGCAGCATCGCAATTTGGGGGATATGCTGTATATAAAATGCTTGTTGAACTATGCACATTTTCTGTGTAACACAAGCTCTAATTGCTGCTACAGCTCCATTTTGCGAATAGCCCGAAAAACGATGGCAACGTAAGCGCTAACACACATTTTACGTAATGCGGCGACCTCATTACGTTGTAATGCACATTAATTGAGCGCTAAGCGCTTTGTCCATCTCTCTCTCTCTCTCTCTCTCTCTCTCGCTCTATCGTCACTGTATGTGAATGATATGAAACTTTTGTCTTTGCCGGGATAAATCCTTTTTTCGATTCTTTTTTTTTGTTTATGGCGTTTATTGAATTGTTTAACTGTTCACCTTTCAGGCAGTCCCCGCTGCGAGCTTTATGTATGTATATATAAATATAATTATATTTATTTATATATATATATAGGTATATAAATGTGTATGTTTTTTTTGTATTTTAATATTAGCATTTCACTCTGACGCAGACCTTTACTAATTCCCATTATTTCTGTTACTTTTGTTGCGCATTTCTTTTCAGGTGGAAACTGCACTGCTAATTGAAAATTTAAATTCACCGCACAACAACAAAAAACAACAGCAATAAGGAGAAGCAAAAGAAAAAGTCGAAAGAGAAGCCACATTGAATATAAGAACAAGAGCTGTCCAAAAAAGAACGAAAGGCAGGCAGGGAAGAAAGAAGAAGAAAAAGGAACGCATACATTAATCAGAATCGTGTCTGTCGCAAGCAGCAACCACAAAAACAACAACAACCACAATCAGTGCACAAAGGAAAGCTAAAACGGAACACGAATCAAATTAACAGCGTGTCGAAAGGATTAACAGCAGCAGCTAGCTGGCTGAAGAACAGCTCTTGTGGCTGTGACAGCCAGAGCTAAACAACAGAGACAGAGAGAGAGAGAGAGAGAGAGGCAAAAGCACAAGTAGTGAGTTGAGTGAGTTTAACAGTTGTCATGGACTCAACAGAGGAGCTTAACAGACCGAGGCAGAGAGCGAGGCGATCAATGCTGTTGCCGCTGATGTTAACAGGGCTAATGTTAATGCTGCTGATGCAGGAAACGGTGGCTCATCGGGATTGGATGCAGAACTGCAGCAATTGTCATTGCCATTGGAATTCAGGGAAGAAGAGTGCCGACTGTAAGGGCAAGAAGTTGTCTAAAATACCGCAGGACATGAGCAATGAGATGCAAGTGGTGGATTTCTCACAGAATCAAATACCGGAGCTGCGACGTGAGGAGTTTCTGGTGGCGGGCCTACAGAATCTGCACAAGATTTATTTGCGCAACTGCACCATCCAGGAGGTCAATCGGGATGCGTTCAAGGGCCTACCCATACTGATCGAGCTGGACATGTCCAGCAATCGCATCCGCCAGCTGCACCCCAGCACCTTCGAGGGCCTCGAGAAGCTACGCAATGTGATCATCAACAACAATGAAATCGAGGTGCTCGAGAGTCGTCTGTTCGTCGATCTGCCCTTTCTATCACGCGTCGAGTTCAACAACAATCGATTAAAGCAGGTGCAACTGAATGTCTTTGCCGGACCACTCAGCGCCATCTCTCTGGAGCAGAATCAACTGACCCATCTGCACAAGGAGACGTTCGCCAATCTGCCCAAGCTGAATTATCTATCGCTGCAGGGCAACGCCTGGAACTGTAGCTGCGAACTGCAGGAATTCCGTGACTTTGCCATTGCCAAGCGACTCTACACTCCGCCGACTGACTGCCAGGAGCCACGCCAGCTGCGTGGCAAGCTGTGGAGCGAAGTGCCTTCAGAGAACTTTGCGTGTCAGCCACGCATCCTCGGCTCTGTGCGCTCCTTTGTCGAGGCAAATCATGACAACATTACGCTACCCTGCCGCATTGTCGGCACCCCACGGCCCAATGTCACTTGGATCTACAATAAGCGACAGCTAAATCCGGGACCCAATGATCTCCACATACGCATCCTCAACTCCGTGGAACAGGTGAGCGGGCATCAGCAGACGGCTCAGGTGATGACTTCCGAGCTGCGCATCTATGGAGTGCGTAACTCCGACAAGGGCGTCTACATTTGTGTCGCCGACAATCGCGGCGGCAAAGCAGAAGCCGAATTCCAGCTCCTGGTCAGTGGCGTCTATATGGGTGGAGCATCTGGCTCGGATGGTCTCGGTGGCTTGGGCATCAGTGGCGCCATTGGCGCCTCCACAAGTGATCCGCAATCGAGCATATTTCTTGTCATTTGCGTTATTGTGACGACATTTCTCGTACTGCTCATTTTTCTGGTGCTGACGCTCTTCTGGTACTGCCGTCGCGTCAAGACCTACCAGAAGGACAACACCATGATGAGTGGTGATGGCCTGATCTCGTGCAAGCTCGATAAGACGCACAACAGCTCCATGCTGGAGGGATCCGTCATTATGGAGATGCAAAAGAGCCTCCTCAACGAAGTGAACCCGGTCGAGAAGCCCCCACGTCGCACCGACATCGAGAGCGTCGACGGTGGCGACGATGGACACGAGATCAAGAAAACCCTACTGGATGAAACTGCCTACGGTAAGTGAGAGCAACTTGCAGTCGAGTGCAAGCAATAAGTGATTAAGGTTCACCAAAATAGGGGCATCCCTAATAAATATCAGCTTTTCAATTCAATGCGGTTCATTAGCACAAGTTCCTCTAAACTATGCTCGTATTGCAAATAAAATACCTCTGTGCAGTTCTTGGAAACAACTCTGAATTAGATCTGAATTAGATTGCACATAAAAAATACAAAAAACTGCATTAATTGTTTCAACACCGATTAGAATACCCTTTATTAGAAGAGCGCAGAAACCCCATTTTAAGATTGAGAATTATGTGAGTTTTTTAGTTGAAGCTTAGTTATAGAGTTGAGTATTCCTGTCGTAATGCAATAAAACACTCAATAAGTTGATGAACAGGTGCCCAGAATATCTATATCTATATCGATATCGATATCAATGGCACATTCTCGCCCAGCAGGCAACATCATAGTCATTTGTCTTACTCGAAGTCAACTTACTCCACGTATTTTTGTTTTGTTTTTCCAAAATGAATTTATTCCAAAAACAAAAAGGAGAGAAAGATAGAGATGAAGACTGGAAGAGAGACATGTTTATTGAACGTGTGCAACATTTTAATTTCCTTCGCTCATCTGCATTTGTTTATCCATTCACAATGGATGGCAATGGCAACGTGTTGTCTATTTGCTCAACTCAGTGTGTGTGTGTGCAAATTGCACATTTGATCTATTTGTCGAATATTTCCAGTTGAGTGCAGAGCAGTAGTTCGACAATTTAACTCGCATTTTTCGCAGCGTTAATACAAACACAAAACACACACGCGCCCATATATAGATATATATATATATATAGATAGATATATATATATATACATATATGAATGTATACACACACGGATACAGATACATTTGTATCTATTACTTCCGCCGCATTTGGCAACATTGGCCGCCAGCGCGCTGGTAAACACAACACAGAAACAGACACACACACACACACACACACACATCGAGGAAAACCAGAAACAGCCATCGAGAGATGTTTGCTTTAAATTTCCAATTGGCAATTGAATTGCAATGACAATTGGAAAGCCAATTGAATGCAATTGATGCACTGTCCATTCACTTGCCCGTTGCTGTTGTTGTTGCTATTGTTGTTGCTGTTGCTGTTGCTGTTGCTTATTGAGCGCTTTGGCCGAAAACAATCAGAGTGACATGTGCCAAAATGCAGACAGCAACAGTGCCAACAACCAGCAACCAGTAACAACAGCAACAGCAAAGTTAACTCAACAATCGACATTGATTTATCAATTGCTTAGCGAAAGAACAACATCAACATCAACAACGATTCGATTCGATTCGATTAGGCCAACAAACAGCTTAAAGTAAGGCAAAAGAATACATTGAAAAGTAGTAGTAAAATGGGAAAGAATTATTAATCAAAATTGAACTGCATACAAAAATACATACAACAATTTCCAGCTGAATATAAAAATTGAGAAATTTTTATTTCCAGAATTGAATCATATTTAGATGCCCCAAAAACAATATAGGCAACACACAGCAAGCACTAAAAGGTATAAATCGCATGACAAATCCCTCGAGTTTTTGGTTAGTTATGCTAGTTTATAGCGCTTGGTATTAGCAACAAGATTATAATGAATCCTTTAGAAAGGGGACAGCTTAACAATACATTCAAGGATTATTGAAAGCATTAACTATACAATTAACAAGTCATTATTTCTTTATAATTTTTGGCATGCGTTTTTACCAACAAAAAAAAAAACGATCAGATTTCTTTTAAAATAAGCAAAAGTAGGGAACAATTTAAGAGCGCATTAAAAATACATTTTGAATGTAAAATCTAGAGAAGAGTTGTTCAACTGATGCAGTTAGTAGAGAAAGTTAATGGATTCGACTTGAAATCTAAAACGCTTCGGTGAACAATATATAATTAAAACTGAATATCTTTAGACTAGACCATGTAGTAGAACTAATAATTACATACTCAATAGTTGTTTAAAACAAGAAAGAAAGAATAACACTGCCGTAAATAAAAATGTTCGAGTTTTGGGACAGTTTTAATAAATTCAAATATAAAATACGATTTTTAACGGGCTTTTCAAATGTTTATTTTGGTTGACTTTCGCAAAGCTGTAGGACAATTTAGAAGTGCTCGAAACTCTGCATAAACTAATGTTTTATTCACTCTCTTTCGGGGTTAACCTCTATAGCCAACCACTCGCGGGACGATGAGACGCACTCGGTGGCGCTATCGGATACAACAACAACGCCCCGTTCACGTCACACCTATGTGGATGATACGTATGGAAATAGTTTGCCGCCCGATCTGTTGGCATTCCCGGCCCGTGTGCCGCCCACCTCACCCTCGATGCAGTCCTCCCAGTCGAACATACCCGACCAGGTTATCTACGGCATTCGCTCGCCCCCGCCCCTCACCAGTCCCGTCTACGCGCACATGACGCCTCATGGCATCTATGGCACCACAACGATTGCGGCAGCCACACACAATGGCTTCATGACCCTCCAGCATCCCAAGTCGCGCAACTTGGCGTTGATTGCGACAGCGAACAGTCGGCATCAGCAGCAGCAGCAGCAACAGCAGCAGATGGCCGCTGCACTGCAGCATCAGCATCAGCAATCCTCGTCGGCATCCCCCTTTCTGCCCGCACCCGTTGTCTACTCGCCGGCCACCACAGCGGTGGTGATGAAACAGGGATACATGACCATTCCACGTAAGCCGCGTGTACCCAGCTGGGCTCCAAGCACATCGGGCGCAGCGGCGGCGGCAGCAGCGGCTGCAACCGGATCCCATCATGGCACACAGCTTAGCGAATTTCAATCGCCCACATCTCCCAATCCAAGCGAAACGGGCACAGCCACAACTGCTGAACTGCAGGCGGAACCGGTCTACGATAATTTGGGATTACGAACCACAGCTGGCGGCAATTCGACACTAAATCTGCATAAGGCAACGGGCGGACAGAGCAGCACACAGGGTGCCCAACAGCAGCAGCAGCAACAATACACAATGCGAGATCGTCCGCTGCCTGCCACGCCCAGTCTCACCTCGGTGGCATCGGCTGCCAATGCGAGCAAAATCTACGAGCCGATACACGAGCTCATCCAGCAACAGCAGGCAATGCAGGCACAACAACAGCAGCAACAGCAGCAACAGCAGCAGCAGCAGCAACAACAGCAACTGCAACATTTGTACAATTCGGATACGGAGCCACTTTATGGGGCATCATCACGACATCATGGCATCACGATATTGCCTGGTTCGAGTATTAGTGGCATCGGTGTTGGTCTTGGCTCGCCCTCATCTGGGTCGTTGGGTGGTGCGAGTGGTGCGGCTGCGTCGCCAACGCATAATAGCGGCGATTCGCCAAAGATAGCAAAGATACCACCAAGGCCGCCGCCGAAGCCCAAGAAGAAAATGTCGGTAACAGCGACGCGCAGCGGACAGGGTAGCACAAGTCAGCTGTTCGATGATGAGGGCGAGGATGGCACCGAGGTTTAGTGTAGCAATTGCAAGCAGCGAACGTGATTGCAATTACAATTAATTCCAATTGCCTTTTTAGCAACAGCAAATGATGATGATGAGGAGGAGGATGATGATGATGATGAGCAAGCAACAGCAGCGACAACAACAGCAACAGTAACAGCATAAATTAATTAAGACACCGAGCAATAACAGTAACTGCAAACAGCAAACAGCAGATAGCTAACAGAACGCGACTATGTTAAGACATAGCATAAAAGAGACAGTGTATGATCGCTGTTAAGTTGCTGCTTGTTGCTCTTAATGTTGAGAGCGTATGTTAAATTGAACACCAGCAGCAGCACCAGCAGCAGGAGCATTAGTTAACAGACGCTGTTTGTGAACAGTCGCTGCTGCTACTGTTGCTGCTGCTGCTGCTGCTGTTGGGCACGACTCGCCCTGTAAGCGCAACTCATTTCTGTTTCTCGTCCGCGCAGTTTGCGTGACTTGTGTGCCAAACCGACTGATGTAGAATTTAGTAATTAAAACCGATGAAAATACGAAGCAAGAAACCAACAGCAAAATCAAACAAGACGAACATGAAATACGCCTACATCAAATATACAGCATAGGGTGGGCGATCAGCAAAAAAAAACAAAAAAAAACGTAGAAAAAGGACAGTACGCTGCACAGTGTGGCAAGCAGCTAAACTTTTTTTTTAGCAGCTAGCAAGAAAAGTAAAAACCCAAAATGAGTACATATTAGCACAAGAGTATGTAAAAATCCCATTTTAATCATAAATAAACCATATACTACTCCAATTTTTTTTTTTTTGCATAGAGTTAGTTAGTTTGGTACAAAAATGCATAAATTACATATATGTATATGTATACATACAAAACTATATATAAAACAAAACAAAAAACACATACACACACACATTTAAAGCTAAGCAAACTATATATAAAGATTATCTATATATTTAAACAAAAAAAAGAACAAGCCAACATAAAAAGGAAAGTTTTAAATTCAAAACATGTTTACTCAAAAGACGCAACAAAACATTTAAGCAACAAACAACAAGAAAAAGAAAAAACGAAAAGAAAGATATCGAAGTCGAGGTAAATTCACTTTACATAATTGCATATTGTTAGAAAATTTTATAAAATTGTAAATTATTAATACATACACATACGAAAATATACATATAGCGTAAATATATTATATGGCAAGTAATTACTTAGGCATAGATCATAGAAGAAAAATCCCACATTATATATATATTTGCATAAATGTGTATATACAAATATATGTATGTATATAATATAAATATATATATATATTTTTTTTTTAGATTTTTTTTTTTAATATATGAAATGAAATCTGAGCATGATTAATACTAAACACAAGCACTAGTATAATATGCCTAGAGCCTAAGTGTATTAGTCTTAAATAGTGATTAACTATTTTGCATTCGCAACTAAAAACAAGCAAAAAGGAAATTAACAAACACGAAAACAAAAACAAAACAAAACAATAACGATGTAATTGATATATATATATATATATATATATAAATACATATATGTATATGTATAACCATATGTATATGTGTTGAGCAAGAGAATATTAATTGCTAGCTATTAAAAAAGAAACAAAAAGAATATACACATAAATACTAAATAAATTTACATTAAACTATAACAATTACAGTTACAACTAATTACCAATTTAAATGTTTAAACAAGATCATAAGGCGCAAATTCAACTGCAACTATGTATGACTAGGCACTAGCTGTACATGTTATACAACTTACACAACACTACACAACGCTACTCAACACTACACAACACTACACTACACACTGACTACTAATGCTGTACAACTGCAACAGCTACAACGGATAAGGTATATTTCTAAACAAAACACAATTCAATATATGAGCAAAACAATGTTTAAGAAAATTACTTGATAAATTAAATGTCTACAAAACAAAAAAAAAAAAAACAAAAAACAAAAAAAAGCAAAAACTATATGAAAATAATAGTAATATATGCATAGCTAAAGTAGTTTCAGGTACAGTTGCAAAAACTCAATTCCCAAATGTTAGCAGCACGAGACACCCTGTGCTGTTGTTTTCCCCCACAACAGCTTCCTCCTCTGCTAACCCGACAGCATTCTAAAAGAGCTTAACAGACACACATATACACACACACAAACACACATTCACATTATAATTTTGTCATGAATATATATATATATATATTCTTGATCAGCACCACTAGCTACCAACCGTCATGTCCGTCTGTCTTCATTTTTGTAGATCCTTATTTTGAATAAGCAGAAATTCCTCAGTCTTTTTGCTGGAGGCAGTTAATTGGAGCAGACCCAATATCATTTAGCTGCCATCTGAACAATCAGTAGAAAGATGGGACGAGATAGGCAGAGACATATATGCGACCCTTTCAGATACAATAACAACTACAAAAATGTCAAATATTCAGTTCCCAGCCAGTCGTGAAACTCTGTTAAGTTATTTAATCTTCGGCATGCCAAAGATAACCGATCTTTATTTTATCTTCAGTTTATATATATAACTTAAGTTGCTGCAAGTGACATAATGCGACGCTCCGAGACACATGGGTAAAGCTCAGTAAAGAATTTCGGTATATATTATTTGACGTATGTTAATATTATTTGTATTAAATATACTTTATATATATATATATATAATTATTTTTGTGTATAAACCAAGGCACTAAGTAGTTTAACTGGACCAAGTTAAGCCCATGCGACTAGTGCATTTATTGTGTTTACCGCCACATACTTGCCCCCTGAATCCGTGCCCCTTCTTCCATTCTCCCCACCCAACAGCTGCGGCAAAATTTCTCCTAACAAAAAAAAAAAGCAAAACAAAAAGGAAATTTGATTCGCATCAGCATCAAAAAAGTATTAAATATTTTATAAACATTTTTATGCATTTTTTTTTCAATTAATTATTTAAATTTAAATGTAATAAATTTTTTTACACACCCATTTCTTGTGAATTTCGTTTGCAATTTTTTACAAGCGCGCCACAGAATCGAAAGGAAAGATCTCGACAAATGCAAAATAAAAAATACAAAAAAAATATATATATTCTTTTGCAAGCATTAGAATGGTGAATAAATCAGTTGCTAAACTCTTAAAAATTAGCAAACAAATCAAAATGAAAACTAACAAGAACAACAAACAAAAACAACAACAACAAGTAAAAACATAGTACATCAATTAATTTTAACACAATTTTAACTAACTGTAATCTGTAATTTGTAATCAATTACGATCGATAAAAAAGAAGAAAACAAAAAAAAAACAAAAAAGGGTTCTTATACATAAGTTTCATATTATTTTGCATTGTTTTCCTAACACATAACATATTAAAATAAAATATAAATATAAATAAAAAGACGAATTAAAAAAAAAAGAAGAAAAAAAAAGCATTTTTTATTTCATAATTGAGGATCTATTTTTGCATTTCTTTTACGTAGAGTCGTAGTGCCACTTATTTCGATCCAGAGATGCGACGACAAATTGAAGTAAATATAAACATGCATGTGACTGACTGCTATACGAGTATAATCGGTATTCATTAAATTCTGTATTTCAATGAAGCCTCAAACTCAAACTCAAACTCAAACTGAATTTGAGTCCCTGAGGCCTGTCGCAACAGCTTAGTGTAAGTCGCTTTCAATGACCGCAAGGATTATTTAACTTTGACGGACCCAACTCGCTGTTCGGTGGCGGTCCGGGGGCAGTCCGGGGTGAGTTCTAAGCGATTGCTTTGATACTTGGTTTACCTCGATAATCAGTCAAGCGTGAAATCGGAATTAAACGCTCGGCCGACTCATATCAGCGCTTTATATTTGCCAATAAATTTTAATAAATACGCAACAAGCTTTAAAATATGACCAAAATTGTAGCGGAGCTGAGGGCCGCCCCCCCTTAACCGAATCGAGCGAGAATTTACCAAAATGCGGTTAAAACGAGCTGGCAGTGAGAATGACAAAGAAGTAGCTGGTTGGGGCAAGGGAGAAGCCAGCATTAAGCATTAAGCATTAAGCATCAGCATCAGCATCAGCAGCAGCAACCGCAGCAATACAAATGCGCATAAATTCATTTTGAAATCCATATTTTGCATGACACAAATTTTACGACTGCCACGCCCCGAGTACATACATGTACACTGATTTATATGTGTATATCTATGTGTGTGTGTGTGCGTGTGCGTATTTGTCTGTCTGTGTATAAAGAGCATGATAATCAAACTTTACTGCTTATAATTTGGCGATGCAGCAGCAAAAGTGCCGCTGGGCGTCGACCATTTTATGAATGGCAGCTGTGCTACGCTCTACACCCAGTGCACCCTGTGGCATTTGCGGCAAAAGTGTGTCAGTTTGTGCTTGTCTAAAAATTGTTGGCCAAATATTGCACAGATTTGGCAACTGTGTTTTGCATGTTAAGCGCCAGAGCGGTTAAAGAGCGGACCGCAAGCAAAACGGTAATTATTACATCAGCCAAGTATTTTCAAAGTTGAGAACACGTGGAGCAATACCAGCAATACCAGCAGCAGCAGCAGCCGCAATACCAACAAGGACAGCAATATGCAAAAGGACACTCCATCTCACTCTTGCTGCTTGCCGCTCGCTGGCTCTTCCAATTCAAACTTGGTGTTGCCTACTTTTGAGGGCTATTCGCAAATTACTGAAGTTGCTGCTTGCTGCTTGCTGCTTTTTGCAGCAACAGCAGCAGAAGTTTGGCCGAAAACCTAAAACCGTTGCTGCTGCTGCCAACTTATTGAAAACGCTTTACAAACTTACGCCAACTATGAAATTGTTTGTTCAAAGCCCATGCACAGGGTATTATAAGTCGTTACTCTCCCAACCCCATCTCCCAACATCATCTCTGTCGGATTAGAGCCCCTTTTTTGATTCAACTTGCTTCAAGTTGCACTTAGATGATCGGTTGATTTGTTTTAAAGCTCTCAACAAAGATCAAATTTCAACATAATGCCAGTAATAGCACAAAAGCAATTAAATATTGTCGATTTTGCAAATATTAGTTTCAACTCGGTCAAACCCTTACTTTTGCGAAATTATTTTGCAAAGTGAAAAACTCTAATTGCCCATAAAAAGAGTTCCATCCTGTCTTTTCTAACAGGTTGTAAGTGGCACAATGTGCATAAAAATGGTGAAAACATAGTGAATAGCATAACTTTTTAGCAACTAAAAGGAAATCCTTCAAACTATTGAACTAGCGTTAAATGCAAAGATAAAGATGCCTTTTTTACTTGAAGTCCTTTAAGCAAGTGATAAGTGCACTCAAATTGAGATTTGCTATACTCTGCGAGATAGGTGGGGAAGGAGAAAGGAGGAAGATGGAAGGAAGGCATTGCTGGGTCAATTTGTGCCACCCATTTTAATCTACAATAATCTCAACACTTGCAAAACTACTCGGATCAAGTTACGAAACTTTTAATAGCTGGCCCCGACACGTTTAATCAAGTTTGCGAGCTTAATGCCAAATAGCTACCGAGTGTATGCGTGTGGTCCTCCATCCAACAATTCCAACAATTCCAGCAATTCCAGCAACTTACCGCCGCCATCCGATCAGCAGCAACCACTCGCTGTCGATGTGCCTCATTACATGCAACTTAAGGGGCAAAATGTAAAACTTATATTGAAATCAACTTTTCGCAAAGCTTTTCCATAATGTTACCGCTACACGTAGGACGCTTGTGCTACTGTGCGTGAGAGTGTGTGTGTGTGTGTAGAGGTTGCGCGCCTAAAAGTATGCTGTTTCTTATTTGGACAACATGTTGCCCCAAAAACTTTGATTTTTCACCTTAAAGACACAAACTTTAAGCATGACACACACACACACACACACAAATAAAGGGGGGGAAAAGCGAGAAAAAGTGCAAACTCAAAAATAACAAGAAGAAGCAGAT